CAATGTAAAAACTATATGAAGTTATGAAAATTTGATGATACACTTTGATATATACTCGGTGTTCATATTTCTGAAAAATACATTATAATTAATTCAATATATTAAATCTATATTTATTATACACACGTTAGCAAAATGGACAAAAGTATTACTGAACAGCATATCGGAAATCAATATCGGACAAACCATTTTGGAAAACCAGAATATCAAACAAACTGGAAAGTATGGTGGGACATTTCAGCAAAAAGGTCTCTTTAAAAACAAAAGCAAACACTTTTGCACTGAAGGTTTTTTATTCATAAGGTTTTACTGCTAACAGGCCATTGAGAAACGTGCTACAGCACAGAAATCTCCACACAGAAACTCTTGTATATGCTCCTATAAACCACAAATATCATCATTCAGTTTGTCTTAAAGTACAGGTGCATCAAAATCAGATGAATTATTAAAATAATTGTGTAATTAACCAATTAGAAGCTGGTGACTGTGAACTGTGAGAAAATTCCCTGAGGGCATTTTTTTTTTTTTTTGCTTGAGAAACCTTCCCTTTATTAATATAATAGTAAGGCTTTGTTGATTGCTCTTCAAAATGAAGATTAATACAAATTCAGTCAGTCAACATATAAAGCATGTTTACCATTCGGAAGCTTCACTCAGTGGGATAAAAATGGTCTAAAAACACTATTTATTTGTTCAGTTGCAATGTATTTCAAATAAGTAAAAAAGCATATGATGAGGACAAAAAAACTAAATCACATTAGTACATATTGTGCTTGGTTGTTTACAAAACATTTTGCCAATAGAAAATACTGTATATATATATATATATATATATAAAAAAAATTATTTCACTTATCCTAAATATCTTTCAGTGAGGACACTGCCTTTAGTCTCCATGGCAACAAGACCCAAGCAGTTCAGGGTTAGTACTTTTGTCCACTTAGGTGTGAAAGCAAACAGCCAGCAGCCCCTCCAGACACAAGCTCACGCCTCCTCTGCAGGTCAAACGACCTTCAAAAACTCCATATGACCTGTTACATATGAAGTCTGATGGCTGAATGAAGGATCAGGATGTCGAGATAAGGTGCACTGATGGCCATTAATTTGCACTGACATGGGAGCATTATAAGTCACTCCAAAATACATTCGACAAGCGAAAGTAAATGCACTGATTCCTGAGGCTCGCCAGGTTATTACTGGACATTTACTTTTTTCAAAAGAAAAAGTAGTTCAGAGCCTACAAAACCAAATACTTCCAGTTATTGTCGGGTTTTGAAACAAAGTTATGTGCTTTAACATTACATATATCTAAATCCCAATTACATCCAGTTCTATGGAAAGCAGCTTTTTTCACAAACAAAGCAAAAAAAGGAAACACCAGTAGCACCAATAAACTGCGTGAACAGTGAGGCAGACAAGCTTGGGAAGATTTCTACAGCAACAAAGATGAGAGTGCAGGAGCGGAGTGAAGGACGGACTGCCTTGTGCACATTTACCTGTTAGACTGCGTGAAAGTGAGTGTGAGTGTGTGAACTGTAATGTGTATGGACCTCTGAAAAATGCATTTGTTTGAGTGAGTGAGGTGTGTGTGTGCATATATGTGAGAAACTGTGAGGGTGTTCACACACCAGATTTAATCGTGTTAGTCCGTGAACCAGACCAAGGTAGTAGATTCATTAAACTGGTTAAAAAAAGAACACAACACAAAATAATATCAGCAAGTTAGTAAAATTCTTACTAAGAATGTTTTATTAAAATAAATGCCAAGGAGGTTAATAAGAAAAAAATAACAGCATACACCATAAAAACTAAATGCAAGCATGTAAAAATACCTATGACAAGAGGAACTAATAAGTTGCTAATGAGTTAAACAAGCTAAAGAATCAGCAAGAAAACAAAATAACTGTAGGAAAAGGCAACGCTCCCAATGAGAGAGACATATCTGAGTAGAGTGGGCCGAGAGGGAGGGCGGAGGAGAAGAGAGGACGTGAAAAAACAAACAAAAACGTGTATTGGGTTTCATCACAAAAGGAGATCAGAAAAAATGACTTGTACATAGAAAATGAAGTTAGAAAAATACATTAGAAACCTGTAACAATGGCTGTAATTTACATTATTACACATGTAGTAGGCAGGCAGAAGAGAACAAGAGATTTCTCCATACACCTGATGGACCCAAGTCCAAAACATTAACAGCACGTAGTAACATGGCAGAGGGGGTTCGTTTAATACTGTCCATTTCTCTGCAGTCATCTCTGCTCCTCTCTAATATTGCATTTCATTATTTTAATGTTTAAAAAACAAGTATCTAACACTGAGAAGAGAGAGAGAGGGAGAAAAAAAGACATTGACCTTTTTTGTGTAACAAAAGTGAAGAACAAGACTAAACCAGAGCCTGCCAGGGTTACAGGACACAAAGATGAGCGTGATCTTATTCAATCTGACGAACACCTCCGGTTGTTTCAACGATTGAAAACTGCTCAGGGGAGATTTGATCTTTAGACTGTGATTTGATACTGTGGCTCTTGAGTGACTGTTCGGGTTTGACACGAATGCGGCAGCAGACGGATATCCTTGTGACCTTCTCACAAATACTTTTAATAAATTGCTGTATTTTCTCTACCCCTGCATTATTTCTTCTTCTCAAATCAGTGCGCTGTAAAGCTACATATTTCGGCTGTGGAACACCAAAAAGGCCATTTCCAAAGTGAGCTAAATACTTCTTTCCCTCTGCCCTTCTCTCTCTCGGTCTTTGAAAGCAAAAAAGAAAAGAAAAAAGTACTTCCTTGGCATAAAAATAAGTATGTTTTGGCACTCACGATTGCGAAAAAAAAAGTTGAGGCAATGATTGAAAGTTTTCAGTTTGCAAGTCTTGAAACAAGAGGAGGTTTCAGGTGAAGTCCAATTAAATGATTTCTTTTAGAAATCTCCCTTCTAAAACACCTGGCAGACTTCCACATCATGATTGGCAGTTCTCGACAAAAATCACAGTAACCAAATACATAGACAGCATTGCTGATTTTGTCCTCATAATATAAGAATAACAATGCAATAAAATAAAGAGAAAAATAAAACACTTTGTTCAAATGGGGATTAAAGGGAAAACAACCAGACTTCAACTTAAATTTTGGGAAGACGAATCATGGCACATAGTTAGCTGGTCAAATGACTGCTATTCCTTTGCATAGAATAGATTCAGTGGCACAACACTGCAACAGCCTTGTGGTTTAACTCTTGGGGTGCTTCCTCTTCACAAACCCTCCCTCGCTCGTTCTGCGCTCTCCTAGTTGGTGCTGGATATTATTGAACAGAATGTAACACTCGGAAAAAGAAACGACCGTCGGTAAGGCACTTATCTCTCTAACTGCACTCTTCTCCTCTCACGCCATGCATTTTCTCCAACATTCCAAGGTTTGACTATTTTGGTCGGCTTTTTCCCCCCTGGCCAATAGTATCCAAAGTCACACAACATTTCTTTACCACCTTTCGCTGTACTATTCTACAAACGGTTTTATATATATATATATATATAATTATTATTATTTTTTTTGTATTACGTTTCATATTTTGTAACTGCAAGTTAAGTATAAAAAGCTAAAATTGGCAAAAATATATATTTCTCCAGCACCCTGTAAAAGTATCTAATTTTGATCTTTCTGTATTTTAATATGCAATGACATATCTACATTTGTATACATTTTATATCTATACATATTTCATGTATGTATAAAGCAATTCGAACAGGCAGACATGGCTTTCACATCCTATGTTTTTTAAGGGGGTGTATAGAAATGAGAGAGTGGGCTCAGTAGCTGGGGGTGTGCAGGACACATTGTGGATGGGCTATCTGATACGGGCGTTTGAAACTAATCGAAATAACTCAGTTGCTTCTCATTTGTGAATTTAAGTTAATAAGGGCTTTAACAAGAACACTTGCGTTTTGTTTCAGTAATTTTTGGAAGGTGGGAGGTTTTTTCTATAGAATAAATCAGCAGAAACAAAAGAAAGAAAAGTGTGTACATACAGCAGTGAGGTAATGCCCTCCCCCGTTCTATCTACCTCATTCATCTTCCTTAGTGTTTTTTTTTTTTGAACATCCTCAAGGAAATTAGCGTCTTGTGGTACAATTCATCACTATTTCATCCATTTTTGATTCATTATTATAACATACAGATACAGGCATGGGACCAAACCTTTTCAAACCCTAGACTAGCATGACATAACCCTTGGCGGTTAGATATATATATATATATATATATATATGAGAAATTCATTAAATGGAAACCCTTTGGCTAAATGCGCACACGTAATACTTTGTTGTCGTTTTTTTTTTTTTTTTTTTTTTATCTCTCACAGCTCATTCAAAGAAAGATTTGTAGAAAGTTCAGGCACTGTATGTAGGGAGGGGTTGAGAGTTTTTGGGATGGCATAGTTCAGTAAACTGATTCCGGTTCATATCCCAGGCCAGCTGTCCAACCCTGAATATCCTAGATTTAAAGACTCCAAAAACACTTCACCCCAATCTCTCCTGCTATTGCCCTGCCTGACTCTGCCTACTGCCCCCTACTGAGCTGGCACAGATACTGCAATGAGCAGCACGTATAAATCTGCAAGTATTGCCAAACGCTAATAAGATACATGGAAACATAAGAAATAAAATAGGGAGAAGTAACAGAACAAAGAAATCAAAACAAGCTTTTTGCAATCTGTCATTGTAGCCATGCTCTAAGTCAGCTGGACAGGCACACCCAGAATGTGTCAGCACAGTAAAACTAATCAAATGAAAAACACAGGATTCCATCAGAGAAGGACAGGAAATACACAAGTTGGTGTGAGTGCAGATTTCTTTCCTTCTTTTTCTTTTGTTGATTCATAGTGACAGTTTAAATGGGTGGGGTAGCGTATAGACATAATCTGGATCCTGACGCCCCTTTTAGCGTTATAACTGATAAAACTGGGGTCGTCATCATTTTTTTTTTTTTTTTTTTTTTTTAACTGGAGCTATGTGAGTGTAAATGCATTTAAGGGCTGAATTAGCAGAAGGCGCTTCTTTATTGCTTTTAAACTTCAGTGCAGATTTTTGGGTAACGCAACATCACTGTTAACATCCACCCAGTCATTTGAGGTTTAAAAAGAAAAAGAAAGAAATGATAAAAACAAAATAAAGTATCATAGTTGTTATCGCTACACAACGTGTTGGTATGGAGGGTTGTTGTGTTTTATGTTGGTTTGTGTTAGGATCACTGCTCGGACAGGTGCCTCTCTCTCTGTGTCCACCAGGCTAGCAAAAGGCAATTACCAGTTAATCTGATCAGCAGGCAGGCTTGGGCGGCTCATCATTGGGTGAAGAGTTCAGAGTTCAGAGGTCATTTGTTAGTTGCCGGTGGCGGCTAGGTGGTTAGGAACAAAAACAAAAAAAAGAAAAAAAAAAAAGGTAGAAAAGATATTAGTTAGCAAGAAGAGACCGGAATGACATCATTTTAACAGCAAAATGAATGCAATCTTAGTTTAACCCCCAAATCCATGGCCAAGAGACAAACACAGGCTAAACCTCGTTATGATCATGACACACTAACGTCATGATCAGAGTTCAATCAGAACGTTATTACATGTAATTAAAGCGCTAAAATGCCCCATGTTCCCACAAACAAAAGCAGAGAGGTATAACGTAGACAAACGAGAAACACATACAAAAAAAAAACTAGTAACATTTTAGTGTCGAGTCGAAATGCGTGTTACGAACAGTGTAATTAGTTGTGAGGGGGAATCAGAGAGCTAGTGCTACGTTACGCAAATAAACAGATAAAGGTTGCAAAATATCACTGGATTTTTCTCTTTATTTTCAGTAAACGTATACACAGGATTAAAAAATACATCTGCTATAAAAAATACTCAAGAAATAGTACCTTTAGTAAAACTAAAAGATAACTGGGTGTGAAGTACATTTTACACTTAAAGAGATGAACAAACAAAATCCGATGAGATTAACCTGAGACATAAAAAAATAGTGAGGTAATAATTTAAGCAATTAGACAATGGCTTTGCTGGCAACGGAAACTTATTCCAGTCCCTTCTTTGTATTTTAAAACGATTTAAACAAATCAGAAAAACAAAGCAACACAAAAAGAATAAAATCTATTTTTTGGATCTAGATGTAGTTAAGGAACGCACTGATATTTACAACTTAAACAAATGGCATTTAATTCAGTTACAGTCATGTTTCCATAAACCTGAGTGTTTCCAGAGGCATTTCATATGTAAACACATTTCCACAGTAAAGATACGCGTATATGATCCCCCGTTCAGAGATAATGCAATACAAAGAATAAAAAAGGTAGAAGTATCTTTTCTAACTAACCTCTGTCTGCGGTCACTATCCTTTGGTAAGGATGGACCCGTGAATCATGTCTCCGCACTTTAGTAGCCATTGCACCTAGATTACAACAGGTCCATAAGGTTAGAAATGTTTCAGCCCAGAAGAAAAACAGACATGTAAAGCCTGTGGAGCACAGCTAGATCATGCAACCAGCCTCAAACGCTGCAGCGGAACTGTACAAACCAGAGAAATACAGAGCATTTTGACCTTTTATTTAAGAGATCAATTCAAAAAGAGGCTCAAATTTGAGCAGGCTAGCTGTGAAACAGGCTTTACATGAATTCTCATCTATTTAAATTTAAATTGTTTCTACATAGAATACATATTCACAATATGAACACAGACAATTCATAAAAAATAAAGTGTAATAAATGCATACCAAAAAACCCCCAGAAATTAAACAATGTATAACTTACAAACTTAAAATTACATAGTAATTGGTTTAACTCGTAAGATTTGAGACGGGCGGGCAATGGGGAAAAAACCAAGGTGTGTTTTAGTAAAAAAACAAATTACAACAGTGGAAGCAGCATCATTTGATCGCAAAATGTAATCAAGTTTTGACACCCTGTGATTACTGTGTGACAGCACCTGGTTTTCTACATTTCAGCAAACCGGCTAAAATACAAACTCTCTGCTCTGCTCACAAGACTACATTATGTAAAAAGACAAGATGACCAGTGAAAACAAAAATAGACGAAAAATTCTAAGCACGTTGATTATAAAATTAATTAAATTTACATTATCTCCTTGTTCAATCTCAAAGGTAATGCACAGAACAAAACGATCTGAAACAACTGTTGATAGTGGAGTAGTAATTGCTTCCATGGTGAAGGTCTTTTCTACGCCAAAAGCAAAATTCTCTATAAATTGTGAAAAATGCATTTTCACACATGAATGAAGTTGTTTTCCTTTACGTCATATGTTACTTGCTCTCTATAGACAATCAATAAAAAATATATATATATTTAATTGTGCTTGGAACGGAATACCAGATAGATGTGGAGCTGGCAGTTGTTAATATTGTTGGTCTCAGACTCAAAAGAACAAAATATAAACACAGTGGGGGTAACAGACAAAATGTACTTATTTCTAATTTCTACCATTTCTAATAGTACACCTCAGTTATTATACTGTGCTATATTCCTATATCAATGCACAAAACGAAATAAAGCTTGCATTATCACTCGTATTATCTATATTATCAGCTTTTAGAATGCAACCCATCTGATAAAACAAAATTCACTTAACGTGGTGTGACGATTTACAGGTTATTTAGTTATAAATTGAAAGGGTTGATGGGTTGTATTTTGCATTAAAGCAAGGGAATTTTGTACAATCAGATGCGTTGATGTGACATTAAATTGCCACAGTTTTGATTTGTTTCACTCTTGGCATGCACAGACCTTGAGACAGATTGGTGAAGGAAGCTTTTTCAGTCTTATGATTATTGCGCGAGACCAGGAGAAGAATGACTGTCTGACAGAATCTATTCACTTACTAGCCAAAGATTTAAAACTACAATAGGAAACTGTAGACTTGTTTCCCCCATATCTTTTTTTGGGGGAAATCTTCATTATTGATTTAAGCATTAGTAATCCTGTATGACTCTGTGGATCTCCATGAGATGTGATGACTACCAACTCACATCATGACATCACAGAATAGTTGCTAAGGACAAATGCTTTTACTCTCCTCTGGAGAAATTCTGGAAGAGCTAACGTTTCCCTCGAACTGTGTGTGTATACGCCCACATGCTATGCTGCAACAGCAGATGTCCAGCAAATCACTTCTGAGCGAGTTAAAAAGAGAGCGAGAGAGAGAGAGAATGGTCTGGTCTGGTTTGATGTTGGATCGATACTATAAGTAAATAAAAGGCTGCTAAGCTTGTAAGTGTTCAAGTTTAAAAGTGGAATCCCCGACACTGTCAGAACAGCAGAAGATCCAAATGTGCCAACTGTACAACATCCATTAAACGGAACTCAGAAAGCCCTCCATCGGATCAAAGACGAAAACAAACGGAAGCTTTTCATGCGTAACATTCAGCTACTGACACGTGACTTCATCATGCTATTGATTGTCATGTCCACTTAAACAATTGATTTGTTAATGTTTACATTGCTTTGATGCAAAGTGGCGAGTCTGTAAAAGAGGTTGTGATGTTGTAGTTATCTATCTTCTTTGCGAGCGCTTGCAGAAGCCCCTCGCTAGGCAGGGGAGTATGGGTAATTCTCTCTGAATAGGGTCGAGCACTCAAGTTCACAAGGGTAAAAATAAGACAATTGGAATACAGTGAGAATAGTGGAAGAATTTAATGAACATCCCCAACGGGACTCTAGGCTCTTTCTCTCTTTCTCTGCCGCTCGGCACCGGTACTAAGGCCTGCTACAGCAGGCAAGAGAGAAATGATTTCAAAAGCCAGGAGAAATCCAAGGGGATCCACCAGTAGCCTGCCTGACAAAGCCTGCGGCAAGAAAGAGAGAGACGGAAAAAAGATGTGTGCAAGCAAGCATGTCGCCACTGTCTGCGATGGCGAGTCTGTGCGTGTGTCCTGAGAAAAGACTTCTTACGCAGCAGCAAAAAAAATTTAATAAATACAATTTGGACAGACGAACACACCTTGTTTTAGACACATTTAAGTGGTCCCTTTCCCAGCCCGTCTCAGTGGCATAAAATGTTTCTTTTTGTGCCTAGGAAGCTATGTCTTTAATCACCTGAATTACCCAGCCCGCTAGCATGAGCTAGTCATTACATATTTACCTTTGAGTGAGTCCTGAACGGGGCCGGGAGACGCCCCATCGAACATGCCCCCGTAAAACACCCCAGCAAAGCCCTCTTGCGGGGCACCAAAGGGTGAAGTGCCAAGCCCCCACGCCCGCTTACCTAGGACTCCGCTGTGCTCGATGGGATATTCCAGCAGAGACGTGGGTGCCAAGGCATAAGGGTAATCATAGGGCGTGGTGTAGATAATGCCCCCGTCAGGCGTCGGGGGCACCAATGTAGGGGTGCCGTTGGGTAGCACGGTGGCCATCTGAGTGGGCCGCATGAGGTTCATAATGGGGGTCCCTGCCGGAGTGGGGGGCCTGAGGCCAGACTGGGAGAGGACCTGACCCGCAGGGGATGCGATCAAACGCTGGCCTTGAGCAGCCGCTGCCGCTGCTGCAAGAGAGAACGCAAGGGTGGCTGCCGTAAACGAAAGAGTGAAAGACAGAAAGAGTGAAAAGAGAGAAAGAGGCAGGATGACACAGAGAGAAAAGTAATGGGAGAGATAGAGCCGTAGAAGGAGGTTTGGTGTGTGAACGCGTGTAAAATTTTCAGAGCAGAAGGGGGGGAAATAGAAATGGACAGAAGGCACAAAAACAGATGTGAGAAAAGCACAGGCAGAGAAAGGAAAACAGAAGTACATGAAAAGAGGAAAAAAGAGGGTGGGGAAAAAAATAAAGGAAAATTAGTCCATGCGATGGTCAATGAACAACAAAAAAAAGTCACATTCTAAAGCAAACTAAAACAAACCCCACAACCAAAATCATTACAGAAAATTTAATCAAAACTAAAACACAAGGAGAAACTGATGATTGATCATAACAGGGCAAACCGATCATCAAAACACAGGCACTAATACACAACAGAGTAACTGATTTAAAGCAGCACATCTGAACTTACTGTCCTGTGTGGCATGCAGAGGAAGCACCACTTCATGAGCTAAAACATGATGTTATTTCTTAGGGTTGTAACTCTACAGTGGACTTTCTAGAATTGATTCAATTAACTGGCCATAAGCTTTCCCACATGAATCAAAACCTCTACATGCCACTGGGACATTTAGTGCAGATGTTGAGAGGAAATAACCACAACAGGGCTGAAAATTAAAATGCTTGTAAGCATTCTGCACTGAAGCAAAACAGAATCAAACAGGTGTGCTTCTTCCAAAGAATGTTCGTCATATATATCCAACTATGCATGCACACAATCATAAAAACATACACCATATATATATAAAAAATATAAACAATCATGCAAATGTTACTTTAGAGAGCAGTATATACAAGTCCAAATCTCCCTATGTCAATGTAGATATGCATTGCAGTAATGGATATGTATGACATGGGCAGAGTTGTATGCAAATACCTTTAAACAATAATACACATTTATGACTTGAAGACAACCTAAAAATCACAATCATGCAGCAAAATGATTCTGTACGCCACACCAAGATTACACAGGCTGTGATTGCATTTGGAACAGCTTTGAAAGGAAGTGGGAGAAAGAGAGGGAGGAAGAGAAAAAGAGAGGGAGAGACAGAGGGAGGGATAAAGAGAGACAGAAATACTAGACTGTGGGCAGATGATTAGATGTTTTCATGAGGAGTCTGCAGTGGTAAGGATTCTTTCTAGAATTAACACGAGCATCTTGTCTGATGAACTCTAAAGTGCTCTGCTTTTTTAATTGCTCATTTATGGTCAGAATAAGAATGCACAAAAAATGTATTCTATATGTCACTGCATGTGTGTTCATTTACACATGGATTAAGGATGGATTATAAGAGATGGATTATGGCTAACACATTCGGGTGTGATTTGGCGCGTGTAAGCTAGGCTTGCTACGGTAGTCGGTGTTACACGGTGTTCAGGCGCAACACCGGTTTCATCACTTTTCCGCCGCGACACCACACACACAAAAAAAAAAAGAAATATAGGCATATATATTTAACGCAATTACGCAGTATGCTATCCGTTTTTTTCTGTCACCCGTTGACTACCGTTGTATGATCACGCTCTTATTAATGTGAATGATATTAAGCGCGACAAGACTAAAGAGACCGCGCTGTCCTGCCTACACACACACACGGTGCGGCCCACAGAAAAGACGCGCGTCAGTATCGAGTTCTCTTTCGGGCTTGAACAAACCATAACACACAACAATTATGCCAAAATGTCAGTTTTGACGAGTGTCCTCATAAGAGCAGTCTTAAATGATTTAAATAAAGTCTTAAATTAACGTAGAGATTTGTGAGAAAATGGGACGCGTGTTGATCGCGTCTGTGTCAGCAGCTGGTCTTAAAGCGTCATTAAAGTAAATCAAAGAACAAAGGTAAGAGAGTAAATGACTCACTCAGACCCGGAGCCAGGAGGATTATTAAACCGGTAGCCTAATCATGAATGCACTGCTATCTTTAACACATCTCCGGCGAACGGCTTCTTTACGCAAAAGAAAAACTCTTCATGAAGCGCAGTGAAATTCAGCGACCTGGCGTTTCCTGATGGATCGAGGTTGTTCGTTAACTTAATTTTATACGTGAAACTCACGTAGCCTATAAGGACACTGTACGTGCTGACAGACAGGACCGAGCAGGTAATATTTAATATGAAACAAAGTCTCAACTTTCAAATTTGGTCAGTCAAAGAAAATTAAACAATAGGCCTACCGTTTTGTGGCTCTGTGTCGTGAGAGATTGCCTCAGTTAAAGACAAGTTCAAATCCACCGACGTTAATCTACTAATCTAGACTACTAAACTACTACTCTCCTTACTGCTTTGTTGGACAAAAATGGTGGATTTTGATTTGCCAGATCACATCAAACTCCCTGCGAAGGATGAATTGACGCTAATGTATAAGTGACATTGAAGTGCACACTGCTGCAGTAGCACCGCGATGTAAAAAAAATTTGTTTCGTTTTCAAATGAGCGGCAATTCAGCGCACAATAACAAAACAGTGTTGCTCCACACGACCACCTTATGCATGCCCGTGCAAACGCAGGCATTTTACATGTGCCTTTAAATTAGCGATTTAAAAGCCCCCGCCGGTGATACAGGTATTACCGGTGTTGTAACACGTCGATTAACCGGTGTGAAAAAATCCTCACCGTCACATCCCTAGTGTAAGCATTTAAACAAGTGTCTTTAGTCACTGTGAACACAATCACAGCTGAACTCATAATTTCTTAATATTTGTCTTGTGGTTGTGCTGATGTTTAAGTCATTTTATTCAGGAGTGTGTGTGTTTATACAAAGCTCCTAAGTGTCTAAGCTGTTGGTGTAAATGTCTCTCCTTACGCGTTTTTATGTTGGTGTCTCTGTACGTTCCGTTCAGAATGGCCAGCTCCATCAGCTGCATCTTCTTTAGATTATCTTCTCCTTCCGCCTAAGAAAAGAAACAGACCCTCATTACTCACAATCAATCACCAACTAGCATTAATGCAAAATCAGGTTAGTATTCAAATTGACAGTGAATATCTAACGGAAGAAAATAATTCATAAAAAGCTAATAATGATAACTAATATGTAACTGTATAAAATGTTATATATATTTATATATATATATATATATATATATATATATATGCAAAATTCCTAGACTTTATATGAACATTAATTAAAACTAATTAACTAACTAGCGTTGGAGTAGAACACAGTAAACATCTACTCTCAGCAGGAACTAAAAGTCTAGTGCTTCTAGACAGGGAAGGATGCACACTTTTGATTACAGAGAAAGAGAAAAGAGTAAACCAAACATGAGATCTCTCAACACAGAGCTACTAAAATCCCAAAAAACACAAAGGGACTTGTATGAGAGAGAGAGAGAGAGAGAGAGAGAGAGAGAGAGAGAGAGAGAGAGAGAGAGAGAGAGAGAGAGAGAGAGAGAGAGAGAGAGAGAGAGAGAGAGAGAGAGAGAGAGAGAGAGAGAGAGAGAGAGAGAGAGAGAGAGAGAGAGAGAGAGAGAGAGAGAGAGAGAGAGAGAGGAGCAACCAGCTGAATTCAGATTTACATATCAAGCTACAGACACACTGGAGGACTGGGATACCTTTAACTTTTCATGGTGTTTCTGAGTTAACTTAGGAGAGCACACATCAAAGGCCAAACTACTTTGACAGACACCATATTTGAGTGGTATTGTGAGAGTTGCCCTTAAGGGACTTTGACTGCAGAAATAACACTACTCTAGATTAGTCAAAATCTACACATCCACATGACTCAAAGCTGAGATAGACCCGGAGTAATTTCCTCAATCAGAGAGAAAAATAAAAACGGCACTGAAGCTACGGAATGCCCCCGCATGAATGACTCAACCATTCCTATGAACTTCAGTAATTCAATAGAGACACAAAAACATTCTCTTAGAGAAAGTGGAGCTTTTGTTTGAACCCTTCACAACCGAAGAGCTCATGGATAGCCATCGAATCTGCATCTATGTGCTTGTTACAATAACGCCACTCATGTGAAGACCGAACAAAGAAAACAAACCCAGGTTAATCGAACAGAGTGCAGAAAAGAAAGGAAAAATCTTCATTTGTCCACTCGACGACTTCTGAGCCTGATAAAACACTGATACAAACAGTGTTCAGTGCAGTCCTTCACACGTTTCAACTAGGATTAGTCCTGTAAATTTTGTGAGAGCAGATCAAATCCTCTACCACTAGCCTATCATACACAGTGAAAATGAACAGACATGCACACATTGAAAGTTTCCAATGACCGAGCAGCATTCCTGTCACACATCCTTCCACCGCCTTACAAATGATGTCTGTTCGCTCTTACACTGGCCAGCAGATCTCAGTTTCGGCAAAGCTGCTCTAATACTGTCTGAACTGACAAGGAGTATGCCATTCAACAAGGGCAAAGATCTGCTCCAGGGTTTCCTGTTCAAGCATACACACGGCCCACGGGTCCTCAGCCAATGAGGGTGAACCACCAGTACAGAGCCACACCGATAGATATGATAAGCGCCAAAAGTGTGTCATTTACTTGCCCTCATGTCATTCTAGACTTTCCACAAAAAACAAAAGTAGTTAGTAGGCAGAATTTCTAGGTTACTCTTTCCATTCAATGTGAATGGACAATCACAATTTTTCTGTTTGAAGCTGAGTTTAATAAGAAACTATCGGTATATAAACTATTAGAATGGAAAAAAAACAACAAAAAAAAAAACTCTTTGTATTATAACAGATTAATGCAATGGGTCAGTGCAAGGAGGGAAATCAGGGTCTGGGTCAGCCGGGCCTATTTATCCCTCTAAGAGGGGTGAGGAAGAGGATAAACGAGTCAAAAAAGCCCCAAAACACCATAAACAATCACGCTCTCATTTCTGCTGAAGCAGGACTTTGTGTTGTTGGCTCAGCTCTAAATCCAAATAACAACATCTCAGTGCTGACCATAAAAGCAGATGGAGTCGATTTTCTCTCGTCCCACAAACTAAGACTTTGTTTCTGGCTCATTCTGCAGCATATTTAATGAGGCTGCAGTGCCTCTGGTCAGTAAGAGTAACTCCCCACAGGTCTGCGATGACAGGGGTTAGTGGAGCAGAGACTTCCTTCAAGGGCCGATGACGCTGCTCCTCAGAGTCACTGTAGAGTGGACATTTCTGTTCGAGGTTAGGTCAGATTTTTTCCTTCATTCTTTTTTATAACACCCTCTTTCTCTGATTCTTCCTCACGAGATATAGGCATTCACGGGATGTTTGTAAAAAAGAAAGAAAAGAAATTATTGCAGGCGAGAGAAGGGAGGGAGGAAGTAAAATAAAGGAAGAGAGCTGTGTGTCATCAGAAGGGGGGAGGCTCTGGGGAGACATCCCTCTGATTTAAGCAACAAAAGCTGACACCGAGAGAACGTTTCCACACACACTCTGGGTGTGAGACATCAGGGAAGGCCGCTCAATAATCCTGCTCTATCCACAGGAATCAGATTCAATCAATGGGGTCTATTTGTAAGGGCAGCGGAGTGAAGCGGCTCTCATTGGCCGTGGGGGAGGACAGGGAACAGTAGACTGTGAAAGCAGAACTTGTGAGCACATCAATTTTGCTACACGCACAGAACTACAGCATTTCCTCTACATAATAAATCGTTTACAGCCATTTCTGAGGCCATTTGCTTTTTCAGTCTGAGACGGTAGATCTGTGGTGTCCACCAGCAAGTGCTCATGTCCAGCAGAAAATCTTGCATGCTTAAATTATATTGGAATGAAACATTACATATACAGAGCCAAGTCAGGTTTTTACAGGTGTTTCCTTTCAAGTTGCGATACAATTCAAGGTCATCTTTAACTAAAACAGCCCACCAGATAAGAAAAGTGGACAAGAGAAACATTTAAGTTGACAAAAAAAAAAAAAAAGTAGAGAGAAAGCTCTATAATTTTCTAGGATTATTAGCATTACCTTTGTCACTTCCAGCACTACCAAAGTTCCCTTTAATACAGAAATATCTTTCAACTCCACCCTCACCACCAAATATCCAACAATCTAAATGATTCAGACAATTTTATCCACCTCAGAAATAATTTCAAAAATTCTGACTGTGTTGTGAAAGCTTCGGCATGAGCTTCAGTATGAACTTCAGCAGTCACCCAGTCAGTGATGAGAAATTACTGTGCATGACAAGCAGTTACACCACCCTTCTGCTGTCAACTGCATGGAGGTAATGCCCTGCATACGCTTAGACAGTTAGCTTGAGTGGAACTAAACCTGAGTTTTCAGAGTAAAGCTACTAACGTTTTCCTTTATTTAGTTTGTTAATGGAACAGAGGGTTTAAAGTTTGGTAGAGTAAAGCACAGATGTGTTCCTCGTTTGTAATGGTAATTGAATGGACTTCTTCGAGAACTTTCACTGAAAAGCTAAAAATCAATATCCTAAATGTACAGTGACAAAAAGTAAAATAAATGTGTACAATATTTTAAATATATAAATAAAGGCTTTAATGCCTTTACTTTTATTCAGTGATCAATAATGCCGCCTTCAAAAAAGATCACAACTCAAGATCAGGAATTCGGATCCAAGCAATGGATGGTGATTAAAACTAGGGGATTAAACGCATCAAACAAGCATTCTCACAGTGAACCTATTTGTATTACATATAGTCAGTTAAATCTCTAGGCTGAAAATGCAAAAGGTTGCAAGTTTGATCTCTGAGGGAAGTCTTCCCCTAAAGCAAGACGCACAATGTGTGTCATATACATTGCTTCGAATATAAAGGTCTGTAAAATGACCACCACATGAAATGTAGGCCAGGTTGGAGCGTGATAGCTGTATTTAAAATGCTGCACAGATGTTTACATGCACTGGACAAAGGCACCCATACGGGATTACGCTGGATTTCACCAGAGAGGGCTGTGAGGAAAGAGATCAGAGTGAGCGAACAAACAAAATAAAGCACAACAGAAGATGAGGAAGGAGGGGTGCAAAAACAGAGGGAACATTAAAGTGATCCATGATTTCCATTGGTGCAACACATTGTAAAACCTTCAGCTGGCTCGCCCTCTTCTCTCTCTCGCTTTCTAATTTTCCCTCCCCCTTCCTATTTCTCTCTCTCTCTCTCGCTGCCAGACGATGTTTTGTTCTGCTCCTATGATCCTTTAATGCCACCCAATCGAGCCGAGAATATCTTGAAAGGATTTGGGAAGGCTGATCTGGAGGTTTAAATACTGCCGGATTTGCATCAGATTCTGAGATTTGAGGGTCAAAGCTGATCCGCGTGCTCTGGGCTGTCAGCTCTGGACTGTGACCCAACCTTGCCCGCTTTACAACCCCCTTATAACCTTGTGTTCATCGGGGGCAAATGGGAGAAATGAATCAGCGGAGGAAAAAAGGCCTGAATAAATAAATCTGCAAATCCCAATAAAAGCAGCACTCTTATGACAGCCCCTTGAACATGCAGTGTGGACTGATGGACCATATTGAGGATAATTTGAAAACAGTGCTTCCCCGACGGCCCAGAAGAGGTTACTTCACAGTCAAGGATAGCAGCTGCAAAGCAAATACACAATATTAAAAGTGTTGGCCAGCGCAGTCAAGGTCTCTACTGTGATAGCCAAACTGCTCTGTGGGTCAGGGCCAATATATTAGCAAGCAGAAGGCACAGAGCCTAATATACTAATGCATGCTGCGTGAAAAGATGTTTTGCTTGAGCAAAATTGGAAAACATATTGCATTTGAAAGTAACTGAATACACGCACAATCTTGATGACATGTTCTGCTGACTTCAGGAGACACTGTGTACTGGCAATGGGAGAATACAAACGAAGAGTAATGGAGACATATTGGGCCAAATTGCAACCAAAAGCTTCTGGAGTAGGTCAGGATAAAAAAAAAAAAAAAAAAAAAAAAATGAAAAAAAAAATCTAAAACCAGACAGGCTACTTGTCCTGTGGCCAA